AAGAGACAAAAGTCAAAGGGCAACACCACTGACTCTTCTTGTAGGCTTTCCCTGATGAATAATGAACGAAATCAGTAGAAAACATCATCACCATTACTCTTTAAAGGAGATGAGAATCCTAACACTATCCCATAGGTCACCTCCCCAGAGCGGGATCCAAATTCCTGGGCACACTGGGGACATGGCAGTTGAATAGCATCTCTTTTCTTCGTTTCATGTGGTTTCTATTTATTTACAGAGTGCCATGGTTATTCATGATGCTTTACAAACCGTAAAAGCAGGTCTCCACCCTATAGAATTTACAGTGTAATTTAAACAGACATGCTGCATAGGCTGACAGGGCAGGCATGCCTGGAGATGGTGTTGGTGTTGTATAACATGGGTGTGGAGGGTTTCTTCTTGAGTTATAAATACTTTCCAGTTACAAGGGCCTTTTATCTGGGATCCCCAAGCACTTTAGAATAGCAATAACCTCGATGGCTTTCTAAATGCACTTTCCATAAACTGCTGTGGGGACTGAGTAAATGCTTTTAAATGTCTATTAATTGATCTGTGCATCTGTTCATTGTCCATATTAAACAGCATGGATGTAAACATGACAGTTTAGCAGAGGCCCGCTTTGGACTGTGGTCTGGCTGCTCACAGATTACGACCCCAGAGAGGCCTGGTAGCCTTGCCACAGCATTCGGAGACCAGATGGATACCTGGGAATTTTCTCAGGAGAGATCCCCCCTTAACCTAGACTGAGAAAGATCTCTTCCTGGGGTCCTGATTCACCACTTAGGGGTGAATTAACACTTCAAAGTCAGGGGAGTCAGGCAAAGGATTTCCACTGGAGAAACTTGGGGTAATCCCTTGGCTAAAGAGCCAATGTTATTGTTGTTGTTGGGTGCCTTCAAATTAATTCTGACTCATAGCGACCCCATGTGACAGAGGAGAACTGCCTCGTAGGGTTTTTTCTTGGTTGTAATCTTTACGGAAGCAGATCGCCAGGTCTTTCTTCCTCAGAGTTTCTGGGTGGGTCCAAACCGTGAACTGAGTGCTTAACCGTTGCACCACCAGGACTCCTTAAAGAGTCAATAGTGGTACTCATTTGGGTCCCAATCATTCTGTCAATTTCCTCTTATACTATCTTACCATCTTTCCTGAGCAATGGCATTTTCAAAATGGCATTTACATTTTATTGCATTTTGTGTGGAGTTTCCCTTTCTATGTCTACTCAAAGGCCATTCAGCAATGATTATTCCTGACGTATCTGACAAGTTCATGCAAATCCAAGGAAAGACTGACCTGCGTTGTAAGGTTCTGAAAGTTCACCCACAGGTTTATGAGGTAAGTGTCCTTCTATCTAACCTGTATCCTATTCGCAGAGATATCTTTCTAAAATCCAGATCAAATCACATCACCTTCCTGCTTTAAAAACTCTTCCTGAAGAATAAACTCCAAAGTGCCTTTGCACGGTATACATGGCCTTCATGGCCTTGGCCAGCTGGCCTGAGTCTCCAGCCACATCTCTGTCCACGTGACCTAAGGCTCTGGCTGCATCACAGAAGTCACCCTTCCCCAGAGACCTCTGACTTCCCTGTTGGTGCCTCCTGCAACACCCTCCTTCATCTCCCCTCCTCCCTGTCCCCTTACTCCTTCCCAACAAACCACTGTCCCTTAAAAAACAAACTAACAAACCCACCGCCGTCGAGTTGAATTCCAACTCATAGTGACCCTATAGGGCAGAGTAGAACAGCCTCATAGAGTTTCCAGTCTTTATGGAAGCAGACTGCCACATCTTTTTCCCCTGGAGCAGCTGGTGGGCTCGAACCAACAACCTTTTGGTTAGCAGCTGAGCACTTAACCACCAGGGCTGTAATGTCTCTCATCTTTTTAGCCTTCCACAATGCCCACACCGTCGACACTCCACCCAGCATACAGGCTCACCTCTCTTCCCACAGAACCTTAGCTATCTCCGCTTCCATTATCACAGCTGTCACATGGAATTTCAGGTACTGGTTCCCACATATGCGTTTCCTCGCCCGCCTAGGAGCTTCTTGAGGGCAGGACTATGTCTCACACATGGAAATCTCTCAGTAAAGTTTTGTTGAAAGCTTCTTTCTGCACTTTGAAGGGGCAGGGAAGGGGAAAGGAGGGATCTGTAAAATGTCTAGAGCCCTGTTTTTGTAGGACTTGTCCTACCTGCTGTGAGGAGGGCACTCCACCGTAACGCCAGCTTTTGGAAAAAGTTCCAGGTTCAGTTGTGAGCCCTACATTCACTGGCTTCATTCCCCATGATAAACCCCTTCGTGACTGTGAGGGTTAAGATTGTATGTCAGCTTGGCTAGACCATTATTCTC